ACTTTCCCTTATTTCAATTAATATATTTTTAGTAACGAATAAATGTAAAATAAAACTCTACCAACTTTAAATTTCGAAGCTGAATCTATTTCAATTAAAAATTGTGTACAAAAGTGTGACTTTTTGAATTCTGTATTGTTTACTCACTTATGCAAATTAACATTTTTCTTTAATTAAAAGTCGCGAATTAATACTTGATTTCAGTTTTCAACACCAACCTATGATTAAAGGTAGTAAAAAAAAGTAATTGTCTGCCCTCAAAAAAGTAAATAGATCATAATCTATGCGTAAAACAAAGTTTTTTTCTAAACACAAAAAAACACATTATTATTATTAAAAGCTCTCGTAACTACAGCAAATTAAATGGATTTAATCCATTTAATTTGCTGCAGCTGCTCATGAAATGACATATCAGAAAACATTCACAAAAAAAGGAGGAAAGTACAGTACATTTTCGACTATTTGCAATTTCCAAAAAATTTAGCTATACATAAGGTGTTTTTCAAATTTATACGGACACGAAAAAATTAAAGTGAAACCCAAATTTGCTGCATTAAGTGACAAATGTTTTATTAAAAATAACATGGATTTTCGTGTTTCCACACTGCATAAGAATTTTAATCAACTTTAACATTTTGTCACTGAAAATAATATTTTTGAAAATTTTGTACAAAAAAACTGTTACATATTTATCCGGACAGGCACTCATCTCATGACTTAAATAGAATATTGTTTAGTTTCAAGCATTGAAATATGCAAATTAGCTTACATATCTAATTGTAATACAAATTCTTTATGTTGTTCAAACGTTCTAAAATGGGTAGAACAAAGAATTTATCTGATCATGAAAAAGGGCAGATTAATGCCTATAAATCACAAGGCAAGTCAATAAGAAAAATTGCAGCATTTATAAATCATTCAAAATCAACTGTTGGTGATTATTTATCAAAAAGACGTGGCTAGGATGTACCAAAAATCAAGACAGGTCCAAAACCCAAGCTTATACCTCGAGACTGTAGACAAATCATCAAGGTTTGCTCCACAAAACCAACATAAGTAAGAAAAATAAAACAAGAACTAGTCTTGCCTTGTAGCAGCACAGCAGTGCGGAGAGTTTTAAAAAATCTCCAACGTTAAAATTGAGAAAAAAAGCTGTAATGCCACCACTTTCATTAAAGCACAAAAGTGACAGACTTGATTGGGCACAAAAACACACAACAGTCCAAAGAATGAATTGAGGTTTTGTTCAGTGATGAAAAACAATTCATCTTAGATAGTCCAGACGGTTGAAAGTATTATTGGCACGATTTAAGAACCGAAAAACAAATATTTTCACAACGCCAAATGGGTGGGGAATCAATCATAGTGTGGGGTGCGTTTGGATTCAATGGAACCACAGATTTAGCATTTATAACTCAAAGAATGAATTCAAAGAAGTATCAAGGCATGCTTGAAGATCATTTATTGGAAGCTGGACCAAATATTTGTGGACCAAATTGGATCTTTCAACAAGACAATGCCCCTGTGCATGCCTCTAAATCAACAAAAATGTGGTTTAAACGTAAAAATATTAATCTGATGACATGGCCTGCTAGAAACCCTGCCCTGAATCCGATGGAAAATCTTTGGGGATGATGGTTCGTACAGGTTATGCCGATGGAAAGCAGTTTTCCACAATTCATGATTCGAAGGCAGCAATTTCAGATGCTTGGGATAAACTTAAGATTGAATTCCTTCAGAATCTAACTGAAACAATGCCTAATCGAGTATTTAATATAATTAAGTTAAATGATGGTTACATTGATCATTAAATTGTAAAAAAAACTTTGCAATTTGAAACCTGTCCGGATAAATATGTAACAGTTTTTTTGTACAAAATTTTCAAAAATATTATTTTCAGTGACAAAATGTTAATGTTTGATTAAAATTCTTATTTTGCAGTGTGGAAACATGTAAATCCATGTTATTTTTAATAAAACATTTGTCACTTAATACAGCAAATTTGTGTTTCACTTTAATTTTTTCGTGTCCGTATAAATTTGAAACACACCTTAGTATCATACTGTTTAGTATCTCATCAATACGGCAGATTACATAGTTGAAAATGTTTTTGTATTTGCAGAACCAACGGTAAATTCGGTCCTGAAATCCAAGCTAGTGTTGATTCTTTGCTTCCATGCAGTACTTCCGGAAAATTCTCCACTTTCCTAAAAATCAGTTCATCTAGACGTAATTGTTTCGAGTGAAAAAAAGATTTTCTTTATATTGTTGATTCGCGGAACGGGCATACTAATCCTGAATTGTACATTAAGTACTTTGCTGTAGCAAAAGGCATTATATCGGTACGTATCATTCCTGAAAAATGCACATGTCCGTCAATCTCTGGATATATCAATATTTCATCGAAGCTAAAATGTATGGCCAGAACAATTTGTTCATTCTAATTTTTAAGCAAGTGTACTGTACGTATTACATAAGATTTAACACCTTTATAAGCATTATTGAAAATACTGTATACAATTTAATTTTATAATACGTATGAAAGTATATTAAGTAGGGATGCAGCAAGAAAAAAAAACCACAAAGATATCAGCCTACCGTTCTGGAGATCAAATTCGTCAATAAGAATAAATAAATGTGCCAACTTTTAGAGTAACAAATTCCTAACACAATGTGAAAAAACTTGTAAAAAGTGATGAGTAAAAGCAAGCCTAATCTTCTGAACACTTCTTCCACCATTTTATGATGGTGTGACGGGCATATAGCCGAAGCTGTTAAGGTTACAACTCTAGGATCCAGAATAAATCATTCCTTCGAACGGGTCGAAAAATACCAGTTTTTCACAGTCGGTCTCAGTTATTGACATTGTCGAAACCCATCCCTCGACATCCTGCCACTGTTGTAGATCTAGTCCCTGTGGACATTCGTTTAACAAAGTAGAAAGTTACTCTTTATCATCATCTAGTACTGCAGACATTTTTCTCTACAGTAATACTAAAGAGCAAAGGTGGTATTATGGAACCCTTCCATTTCAAACTAATAATAAAGGCGAACTGTAGCGGATTGTGGCTAAACTGCACTAGGCAGACATCCATAGCAAGGGGAAAACCAGTTTTTCAGTTAAACGGTTGTCCGTAGTGAATTAGCATATTTGTTTTTCGAAATTCGAAAGTCTTGAATGCTAAGTGAATTTAATTATTTCTAAAATATAAATCGTGTAGTTGTAGGTTCACTAGTGCATGTATTCTGTTCCAGAGACTTAGGGGTACATATTAATCTGTGATGTTCACGTTTTTTAAAATTTGGTCTTGACAGACAAGTTAATTCAAGATGGCGACCTCATTGGCGCTTTTAATATGGAACCTAACTCCTTCGAACTCTGTCTTTGCAAGCAGACATTCATCCGGGGCAATTTGTGAAAGACACTAGGTAGAAAGCCAATTCTTCCTGAGAATATCGAAAAAGAGCTGCTGGAATATATATTGTTGATGGAGGTCATATTTTTCTATTATAAAAGCATTTTTTCGATAAAATACATTGGAGTAAATAATTTTGTAATTATTTAACACTTTGTACTTTCCTATTTGTTTTTGGATACGTTAACGCATTTTTTGAAAACTACAGTAAGGTTCCATATTATCACCCGATTTTCTCTAAGCCTACTTTCTTACAGAAGCCTTCAAAAACCATACTTATAATTACACTAGCGAAAAATCTAATTAGGAACATTTAGTTTAATAGTTACCGGTACTTTTCGCATAAAAAATGTGGGTGTAGTTTTGATACCTTGTTTACAATTCACTATAATGTAATTGGGATTCCATACCACTATCTTCTCTACTTACAAAATTTATTTCGAGTCTCCAACAGTCGGCAACTTTTGTCATGTTACATTTGTGTACAAAATCAAGACATCTGAAGCGTACGATGCTAAGATGTTTTTCGATTGGCATAAACATGTGAAGAAAATGATCGGATACTGAAAGAAGTGGAAATTTGCGCACTTCTAAAATAAAATTAGAATTGAAAGGCCATTTTGAGGTCTTTTCCAACTCATTTTGGGGAAAAAACGGGGACAGCTGTGCTAAGCTCCCAAAAGGTTTCATCTAGCTTTTAATCGTTATACAGTTCAATCGTCGCGTCGTAAGGACAATACAAGTCGAATTAGCTTTATTTATGCAAATTTTGTCAAATAAAAATGAGCAATTATTTATTGTGACATCGCCACAATGCCGGGCTGCATTTGTAATCATACTTTTATTTCATTTAAAATGTTTCCACCTCAAATTAGTACTGTAGTGTCTTCCCTCTATATATCATACTTTTCCTTTAACAATACAGTCGTGCCGTCTTCTATTAACTGCTTTCAGGGGAAGTTTTGAATTGAAATAACATGACTTCCGGTTTGCCTAAGGACGTTCGTATATAGTTAGGAGTAGGAGGCCCCGATTACGGTTACCATATCAGGTCTCGACTTTCATCTAACTCCGTTCTCTAGATTAAGGAGGGTTAGACAGACAGACAGACAACATCGGTGGGAGTTTACGGGTCTACAATTTTTGAAAATTACAACCTGATNAACATGACTTCCGGTTTGCCTAAGGACGTTCGTATATAGTTAGGAGTAGGAGGCCCCGATTACGGTTACCATATCAGGTCTCGACTTTCATCTAACTCCGTTCTCTAGATTAAGGAAAGACAGACTGACAGAGATGACAGTGAGAATTTATAGGTCTACAATTTTTTTAAAATTGCAGCTTAACAATATAGCAATAAAGTGCACAACTGTCACACACAAACTAATATGTTATAACCGAAAGTTATATTTCACCAAATCATTTTCTAATAATTCTGTGTAAATTAGTAGACTTGTATAACCCTACATATTAAAACTCAATTTCTGTAAAAAAAAAATCAGAATAACTTTTAATTTTGTATTTTACTTCATAATTCTCCTACCACGTGTTTTTGAAGTTTATTCAATGAATTTGAAAATCAACTATTCATTTTGAAAGAACTTTATTGGGTCCCATTTTCAAAAAAACAAGAAGTTATTACAGCTTCAACTGTTTGTGACAGTCAAAAGAATTGTTTAATGTTTTTGGAAGTATGCTTTGCTTCCCACAGGATCAGGAACCATAGTATCACTGCCAGGTTTCCATCCAGCTGGACACACTAGAATAGTTCAAAAATATTAAAAAGTTACACTTAAATCTTCATTGCATCAATAAAATTTCCTCATGAAAAATAAATAATATAACAAGTTTTAAATGCAAGCATTAACAATTTTGCAATGAAAGTATTATTTCTGTGCAAATTAAGTTATTTTCAAATTGCTAGTACTTTCAACAAACTTACAATCATCATCTTTGGGCAAACAAGGTTTAAAATATAGAACACAATATTCTAACATAGAATAAATTTCATTTAAATCAAAAAAAGACGTTATGTGCATGATCAAAGTTCAATTACGCAAGAATTTGAAATGTCACGCAGAGTGTGTGGGAGTGTACATCCATATCAAAGGTGTGATGGCAGACACATTACTATTTAGCCATTTATATAGTGCAACAGGAACACAATGCAGGCTGGCCATTGCAACCACTTGTAAACAAGAGATCCAATCCTACCTATTTTTTAGAAAAGGCACTAGCTAAATTTCTCTGTACACAGATACCAGACTTGCCCTATGTTACTCCCTCGTCCTTGGTTGCTAAATTCACCATCACTTTGGTTTTTGGTGCATTATAAATCATCATATACAGCTTCTACAAACTGGATGCATAATTCTTCTACCCAGTGGACCCATTTTTAAAGCCTTAATGCTGGCTAATTCTCTACTCCTCAAGAAGTGCTTTAGTGTTCAACAGATACTGGATATACATGATGTGCTCCATGATAAAAAAAAAAAAAAAAAAAAAAAAATCAGCAGAACTACTTTTGTTATGGGAAAATTTATTTATAAAAACAGGGGGTCCCCATAGTTCCCCTTTATCTGCTGTTCTAGCGGAATTGATCATATGGGAATTGAATGTTCTGTGCTCAATTTCTCTTTTGGCATCTGCTGTTTTATTTGAGTTACATTGATGACATTCTGATAGCACAGGATGACACAGATCAGATGTTTCTCACATTATAGGGGAATACACTGGACATTTGTTGTTCTATTAACTTCACACGGAAAAAGAGGTAGATGAAACAACAACATTCTTAGAACTGAACATATGTAGATTCCCTGAAGGGCTGTCATTCTATGTTTTCCTTAAGTTTAATATGGTGTTTCATATCATCTCTGCTGTCACTTTCCAGACTTTGCAATATATTTATGCTGCTATTGCTGCCCTCAAACAAATTAAAAATAAAATCAAAATTACTTTAAATCAAAATCAATTGAAATAATATTTTAGAAAGTGTAAAGTACTTGTCTGCTTTAATTGATTTGGTTATATTTCATGCAGATAGTCAGAGTTGAGTCTATATATAAATACAAGTGCTATACAAGAAAGAAGTGCTATAAAGTGTTTAGTTTCAGTTGGCAGTGATGGAATATTTTGCTTTTAATATATATACATCACCAAATCTAACTATTCTGTAATGATATTATGTTGAATATAATAATATATTACAGCCAAAAAAGTAAAAAAAAAATTAAAAGGCTGTTGGAGGTCAGGAACAAATTTTCCCATAAACAATATAAAATTGATTAATTTGTTTGTTTTAGAACAATTTTTAGGAACAAATTAAGTTTGAAAACCAAGATTTGATTGTACTCGTATTGCAAAATTTTGAAACCTAAAAAATTCAACTATAGTAGAGCGTCAATTATCCGAATCAATTGGGGACTGGGGTCATTCAGAAGATCGATGTGTCGGATAACCGATTATGTACAAAAAAATATATTAATTTATCCCATCTTGACATTTTTCTCTGTTGCATGTCGCTTTGCGTTGAATTTTTGTCGATGTTAAGCCTAACGAAGACTATTGTATCGTTAAAAAAATTTTTTTTTTATTTTGTAGGAACGAAATAAATATATTGAAAAATATAAAAACAATAAAAAATTATACTTTAGAAGTTAATTTATTATCAAAAACGTAAAATATTTGAGTGGCCTAAGACATAGCCAAAGATTGCAGCGCCACAGCACTGGCGAAAATTTAAATTTGCCGACTGGAATTCTTTCGGATGATTGACTTTCGGATAATTGACGCTCTACTGTATTTAGAAATAGAAACTGAATTTAAATTAACAATAATAAATAAAAAGATAAAATAAATTTGAATGCTAGTTTTGTTAAACACTAGATAATACTTACCTTCTCCAAATTTATCTGTGTGTTGGAAAGCTTGAACTAATCTTAGTGTTTCATCCACTGATCTTCCAACAGGCATATCATTAACAGTTATTTGACGCAATCTACCTTTATCATCAATGATGAAAAGACCTCTAAAAGAACCATTTCAAATTTTAATGAATATTTCAATTTGAAACAAACAAAGTTTATATTCAAATTTAACTATAAATACTTTTAGCAAAAAGAAAATTATTTGTTTTTATCTTCAGTTTGTTAATCTATTGAAAATAATATCAATTTATTAGTTTCATAATCAAGAAGCTGTAATTTTGTTTTCTTGTTACAACTGGACAAAGTGCTCTTCTATTCCTTACATCCAGCTTTATATTTTGACCATAATTGCTTTTGTTGGCAGATGTTTTGCCTGTCTTAGCAGGCTGAGATATGATCAAGGAAACAGTAGCTCTTGCTACTCCCCTTCAACTCAGCAACTCTGATCACAGAAGCACCTACAAGGCATGCACCAACAATTATTCCCTTTTGAAAGTGTTAAGTCTGCCATAATCATGCCCAAAAATACAAATAGATTTTTCAATAGGAAAGTAATGAAGTTTATTGGCAGTGATATAAGTTACAAAAATAAGAAAAATGTGTGTTACCTGTGATGGTATATGTTCAACTGTAACATGGGGAATGTTTCAAGTATTTTGTCCAATCTCTAGTATCAAATCTAACCTGTTAGTAAAAGAAGGACACACATCACTTGCAAAATACAACTAGTTTGACTAGGCAAGTGTTTTGTGTTGGACATAACTTTTTTATAAAAGCTAAAAATAAAATATAGCATGAATTTTTTGTTATCAAATGCAAAAAAGTGATAAAAATAAGGGTGGGCAGGTGGATGTATGTGTACACACACGCACGTGCATAATTAGGTACAGGATGATGATCTTTAAAACTAGTACTTTGTTACAGAAAGTCTGAGTGTAAAAGTCAGTGAATGTTTACATACTGCACATGCACAGAAAGGTATCTGCTTCCCACATTGCAGAAGTAGGAACTGCCATGTGGACACCATAGAAGGTATCTTGTGAATCACTGCTTACAGAATTGAGTTCCACATTCATGTTTTTACTACAAGTACAACCTTGAAGACTATCATGTAATGGGATGAGAAACTCAAACAAAATGTTTGATACTGATGACTAGTAAAACATACCAAGCATAAGGAAAACAGATTCTACAATTATTTTTGAGAAGCCCAAAAAGAAATCCAGACTAGTGTGTAGCCATAAATCAACAATAGTGTATAAAATATTCCATAAAATGGTTACGTTTGTATGTATACAAAACCCAATTGCAATGAGCAATTACGTATTGTGACATCACAATGCCAAGCTGTAATTTTTAATAATAATAATCTTTTAGTTTAAAAAAAAATTACATGACTTCCAGTCTAGATCAAAAGTCCATATGTAGTTAGTTAATCAGGGCCTGCAGACCTAAGCTTTCAACATTGGAGTTAGATCAACGGTTCCCAACCTTTTTCGGGTGGTGACCCCCTTTTTATAAAAGCCAAGTGACCCGCAACCCCGATACAATTGAAAAAGATATTTTTAATAAGGTAATTAAAAAAACAATGAAATTAGTTTTTTAGCATAATTTTATTTTAAATTATGTTTAATAATTAATTTAATGAGATGGTTGAAATTGCATGTATTATTAACCAGCCTCAAAATTCGCGGGTGAAATTTTGTTAATGCCAACCTCATGTCATTCTCAACATTTAATTTATTCCTCTCAAAACTCTCAACACATGTTTCAACCAACTGTGACAGAATAACGTACCCAGATTACACTTATTTTAATTTTTTAAAAATATATGAAATTATTCAAACTTTAAAACACCATTAAAAATAAATATTGCATTATAGTGAAAATTTTGTTTTAGTTTACTGCATAAGTTGGCGACCCCACAGAAAACCCGTTGCGACCCCCTTTTGGGTCGCGACCCATAGGTTGGGAACCCGTGAGTTAGATGAAAATAGACATTCTTATGATTAACAAGGGACAGATATACATTCCCATTGTTATTTGTGTGTAAGACTGGAATTTTCAAACTGCAGACAAAGTTAAACTGGAAAATAGGATGGCTTAGAATAATTTTCCAGAACCAATGTTGACCAAAATTAATGCTGATGACAATTCCTATACTGAGTATACTTTTCAGACTAGACAATGTTTGAAAAAGTAGAAAACTTCATCTGGGAGTTCAAAAAGCTATATATACAGTATATGAAGAAAACAGGATTCTAAAATGCAATGTTTGGCATGGAATCAAAAGGAAAAAATTAAAAAAAAAAATCAGTTACTTTTTCACAGACCACAGTAACCAACATGTTACAAGAAGTTATGCCTTAGCTTAAGCTTTTCCAATAAAATGGTACTCCCTTTGGTAACATTGTCTACACATTGTTTGAATTATCATTTCACTGAAGGATGGATTGGGAGAGAATCACCATTTATTGCTTGGCTCTCCAAATAACCAGACTTAACTGACTTTCCTGTGGGACCTGATACATACACTGGTGATACTAATCTGGAAGACTTGCATGAAAAGATCTGCTGCAATCAACATGATATCACAAAATGCTTCAACACCAAGTCTCAATCTATTTATACCAGCTGGACATTTGTCACATCACTGGAGATCACATTGAAGACGTTTACTAAAGAAAAATTTGAATTTTTTTTTCTAATGACATGTTAGAAGTTGTCATCGGTTCAGAGTGTATAATAATTTTTTTTATTAAACATCTAAATAAAACACCTGTACATATTTAATATTATTATGTACCTGTACCTGTTTAATATTATGAAATTTTGTTAATGCAACAAACAGGCTGTTACATCAAAACAATTTTAAAAAACAAAAGTACTACAGTCAAGAGGTTAAGAAAAAAAAGTCAGTCAAAATATTTGACGTTATTTTAAGCGACTAAAGTTATTTGTTGCATCTGTTTAAAAAAATAATGAATAGATGTGTTATATCATCTGTAAGCCAGATTCAATGTGCTTGTGAGGTTTCTCTAGTTATTCAAAAAATCCATTTATGACCGATCAATTATTTTAATTTTCCCTTTACAGAAAAAGAACACAACATGACATACATTTTGGATCTAAGTTCAAATATACAATCACTCTTCAGTGTTATGTTCTTACTCTCCAATCACACAAATGTAGGCGGTATTAAGTGACAAATATGAATTTGGTAATCCAAAATGCATGTGTGTTACATTATTCTATAAAGGAAAAAATAAAAATATTTTTATCAGTCTTAACTGGATTTTTGAATAACTGGAGAAACTTCACAAGCACGTTGAATTCAGCTTAGAGGGTATAACACAATATTTTCCCCATAGAAAAAAATACATGTTATGCTGAAATCATTAAATTACTAGCAATTCCACCCAAGTACCTAATTCCCAACTGCAAAATTTCACATCATTTTGCAATACCCTACATTTATATCACAGTTTATATTGCACAACAGTTCTTCATAAAAAATTTTTATCTACACAAGTTTTTTTACAATAAAAAAAACTGAAATTAATAGTAAAGAAAACAAAATAGTAAACATCTTTAAAATAGCAAATGGCACTAACTACTCACTATATGAGATGAAGGATTGAACTTTGACATTTCATAGTGCATTAAATTTGGGATTTGATGTTTCTGGTAACATTTAGCATCAATCAATGAGACCAATGTAACAATATAAGTTAACTGGTAGCTAATAAGCTATAAGGTGCATTTACTTGTGTTTTTAATAGAAATTTTTTCTTACTTAGAAAAAGCTTTTGACTATGAAATTAATAAATTTAAGAAAAGAATACTAATAAAATACTATCTTCTGTGGCCAAAACTGAATTAGTGTAAACACATTCTTATAAAAAATGTCAATTTGGAGAAAATTACCTAAAAGAAACACCAGCATCTTCCTTCAATACTCCATAATCTTTAGAAATTTGTGTACTTTTATCAGCAAGAAGAGGAATTTTCATTTTTCCAAGACCACCTTCTTTACGAGGAGTATTAATCCTGGAAGAAAAGCAACATTTAAGTATTTATAGTGACATTATTTAAAATTTTATCTCAAAAAACTTACCAAGCCAAATGAGTGAAGTGACTATCAGTAGAACATCCTATTATTTCACAATTGATTTTCTTAAACTCATCTACACGATCACTGAAAGCTATAATTTCTGTTGGGCAAACAAATGTGCTGTAAAAATAAAAATAAATAATTTCAAAATATTTTACACTTTATAAAAAAATTTAATTTTAACATATTTAAAACTGGTAAATTAATAAAATATGAATGTTAGAGGATATTACAATAATTTTATCAGAAATGCAATAAAATGAAAATATAATTTTTACTACAAATATAAAAATCTCAAAGCCTGATAGTTATATTAAAGCCAAATGACTAAATAAAAAAAAGGGGGTATATACACCACACTGGGGTAAAATGATAGCCTGCTGAGTGCCATAGCAAGAAGTTTATAGGTCATGGGTGTGGGCACTAAGTTGTCCTCAATTGGCAAAGAATAGTATGGTTATATCTAAATTAATAGTTCTGAAGGCAAAGATCAGACAAAGGTCCAGGTAGTGTAACTGGCAATTCATTCGCACAGTAAGCAGCAGTTGCTGGTTCAAGTACCACTCTGGGCCAAATTTTTTCTAGAACCTTCTAAATAATTCAGTAATTAATTAATTAAAGATTTCACTCAAAATATATCTATGAAATCTATGCAGAAAATGCTATCCTTATACTTATTAAAAAACATTGCTCTTTTGAATGAAACCCATTTTCATAATTCAGAAATTAAAAAAATATTTTTTTACTACCTTTTTAGAGGTCAGTTTAAGCATTTTGATAAACATTTTCAGATATTGGCCATATCCAACTACAGGTCAAATGCAAAACAAATGCTATCCTTCCATATCAAACTGTCATTACATCTTACAAATTTAATGTTTTTAGTAAATCTCTCCATGCCTTTATCCTTACTATTATCTCTGCTATAATCCATCAAGTTGCAATTGGGGTGTATCTTTTTACAAGTACAGTTTTTACATCAGATAATTGTGGTCCTACTGTATATAAAAGTTTTTTAAATTTAAAAGTAGGACTACTTCAATATAAAATCCTTTAAATTAGTATTAATATTTAAAGTTCAATGAGGAAAAAAACTGGCATCTCTGTTAAGACACACTATATTTGAAGACAGGCATAAAAATTCTTTAAAAAAATCAATTTTTTTGAAGTCATTGTTGTTATATCTTTCCTGCTGGCTGACTTCAATTTAATTGAAGTCAGAGCCAGCAATCACCAGAACTACAAAGCAGTCAATTTATTTTAAAGAAAAGAGTTAATTTTGAATTCAGAAAACTGAACAAAAAAACATGAAGAGTTGTTATTTAATAGTTTAAATCCCATATGTTTAAATAATGAAAGTAACAACTGTAATATATTAAAATTAAAAAAAATTATCAACTTACAAATCCATAGGATAGAAAAATAATACAAGATATTTTCCTTTATAATCAGATAATTTAATTTCTTTAAATTCTCCATCAATTACAGCAGTACCACAAAAATCAGGAGCAGGTTGAGTTAGGAGAGGGAGTTTTGCTGACATTGCTAAATAAAGAAAGATTAAATTAAAAAATAGTTTTATAGTTTTGATAATTCTTTAAAAAGGTTAAAAGAATTAAGATTAAAATATATATATAAAGAAATATACTATCCAATCTTTTAGTTTATAAAAAGATAGAATTTTGATAATTCAGTGTTACATATAGAAAGTATACTATTTGTTTTAGCATTTAATTGGGAAGTGTGTGAAAAACTGAGTTACAAGATTTTATATAGACAGTACAACTAAAACAAAGCAATAGTTTGCCCTACATATAATCACATGTTAGCAAAAAATTAAAATTTGTAAAAATTTGATAGTTGCTAAAATTGCAAACTAAAAAAAAATGTTTTGTCAAGAGAGTTACATATGTAAGCAGTTTCAACTAGATTGGAGATGGAAAGGGGATGATAATTTAGACAAAACCGGAGTAAGTTAATAAAAAGGCATTTAAAAATTCTAAACACAAACAAGTCATACGAGGGCTGTTCGGAAAGTTCGCGGCCTTGCCTATATGCAGCGCTGCGATCAATTTTATTTTTGGCGGGAATAATTCAGCCATCTGTGCTAGAGATACGATACCAATTTCCGCTTGATTTGCCATAAAGTTTTGCCACGACAGCTTAGCAAATAGTAAGTGTGCACATGCTTTGTCAAAAATGGAGAAGACGGAGACTCGTGCGGTCATAAAATACCTGACGAAAAAAGGGTTGACCCCATCTCAAATCAAAGCTGACATGGATGAAGTTTTGGGAGAGTCTGCTCCTTCGTACACCACTGTGAAAAAATGGACAGCCCTTTTTAAATCTGGCAGAGAGAGTGTGGAAGATGACCCTCGCAGCGGACGGCCGTCAACTGCTGTCACTGAAGAAAACATCGACAAAGTTCACGATTTGGTATTAGCAGATCGCCGTTTGAAAACGCGTGAGATAGCTGAGACAACAGGCATCTCTGTCGACCGAGTGCACCACATCCTAACCGAAAATTTGGGTATGACGAAGGTCTCAGCAAGGTGGGTGCCGCATCTGCTGACCGCCGAGCAAAAACGTGTTCGCACTTTGATGTCAAAGGAGTGTTTGGACTTCTACCAGAAAAACCCACAGGATTTCTTGCGTCGGTTTGTGACTACTGACGAAACGTGGATCCATTACTACACTCCTGAAACAAAAGAACAGTCGAAGCAATGGAAACACCACAGTTCGCCACCACCAAAGAAGGCAAAGACAGTTCCATCAGCGGGTAAAGTGATGGCCTCGGTTTTTTGGGATGCTAAAGGCATCATCTTTATTGACTACCTAGAAAGAGGAAAGACCATTAATGCTGTCTATTACTGTGAACTTTTGGAAAAACTGAAGAAAGAAATCGAAGAAAAGAGGCCACACTTGAAGAAGAAAAAAGTTCTGTTCCACCACGATAATGCACCTGCACATTCCGCCAGAATCACTGAACAAAAGATAAACGAACTTCGCTTCCAATTAGTTCCACATCCACCGTACTCACCTGATTTGGCCCCCAGTGACTTCCACCTTTTTCCAAACCTAAAAAAATTCTTGGCTGGAAAGAGATTCCACTCAAATGACGAAGTCATCTCTGAAGTGAACGAGTATTTTGCACACCTTGACAAATCGACCTATTGTGATGGCATAAAAAAGCTAGAATATCGCTGGAATAAGTGCATTGCTAACAAAGGAAACTATATTGAAAAATAAAAAAGTTTTAACATTATTTTGTTTGTTGTTCTATTTGAGGCCGCGAACTTTCCGAACAGCCCTCGTATATGAGTAACCTATATCTTAAGTACTTTAGAATGGCTAAAAAAGAAACCAAAAATTTTTGTTGTGTTCCACAGTGTATATCAAATAGATGAGAAGAAAAACATTCTTGCATCATTTCTCAATGAAAATGCCATCAGAAAACACAATGGTCACAAATTATGCAAATTTTTTTTATTGACATGATTTTTTATGATGCTTTATGCTATATAAAAAAATTTTAAAATATTACTATAATGGGTTGTAATCATTTTAAAATTTATTCCAAAAATTACTTCCCCTGGTGTTAAAAATTTATTGTTTCATTGTTTTACGAGAATAGTAAGTATGGAATTTCTTATTGATATTAGAAAAAAGTATATAAAATTGGGTATTTGCAAACCTCAAAAAGATAAAGAACCACTGCAGTAGTTCTGAACTTTTGAGGCTTGAAGAACATTGTAAAACTTTCTGGAACAATGTAGGGCATAGACCAATAAATTGGTCTATTCTATAAGATCCAATATGGATTATTACAGGATATGTGGTAACATTGTAAGTAGCATACAGTATACATATTTCAACAGTAAATGTTCTGATGCTTACAATCAAAATCATAACATAATACAGATCCTAATCCATCAATTGAATTTTGTTTTTATAAAAAGGTGATATTGTTCTCAATAAACAAAATTTCATTGGCAAAGACCCATCCATACATATCAGTAAAAAACTAGACCCTGAACTAAAAAGGGTCTAATATAATAGTTTTCATTCATTGTTTAAGGAGCAATTTTCACAAAACTAAGGGGCTATCTATGAATGGCATCCACAGTGAAGGGATTAGGACAAGTCGGACAAGGAGGAGAGGGTTGACATTGTAAATTTAATGAAATATAATAAAATGTATGAACTGTGTTTATTTCAAAATTTCTTTTTATGTTTCGTTTCTACTTATGATAGCTGTCATTCAAAAAGATGATAAAGGTTTTAAGGTAAGGTCAAGTTTTATTACACATTCAAAGAGGGGAGGTGGTTACAGAAACTTGCTCATACTAGGACAAAAGGGGAGAGGGAGTAAAAACTCAAAAATGCAAATGTAATTTATGGGCAGCTCCTAAAAGTTCATTTAATTTGCATAAGCAAAAATTTCAATAAATCCTTAATATCCTATTGTTTGAACCTAGCAAGCAAATAATGTAATAACTGCTTTGTTTTTATTATTAGATGCTTAAGATGTAAATTTCTGTTTTGCTGATTTTTGGTAAAAGTCACTATTGTAATAATTTTATACAATTAAATCTGTATGAAAAAATCTGGTGAGACCAAATAATTTTTATCAGATAAAACTTTATTAATGCCGAAAGACATCGATCTTAAACTTTTTGATAAATTTCTTCAGATATATTGCTAACAAACTGACAAATATTTACTGGTATGTATTAGATGATTTTTGACTGCTCATAACTCCTATATGAATGAACTTATGTGCAATTGTGGGTACACACAAAAATAAAGAATTAAATTCAGCAGACAAACTATGATTAATATGACTCTGCATATAACTAGAAATAATTGTCAATAAAAACCTAAACTTATTTTCAACTAAGCATTCCTTTTAGAAGTTATGAAGATACTGGTAGTACACACTAATGGCTATTGAATAAATCAAATTCTCTTCTACCATAAACCAAGATTAGTTAAATCCTATAAACTCCAGTCTTGACAAGTAAATGTTCCTGGCCTTTCATTTACAAATCTAGAGAAAGCCAAATGTTGAGTTTCCAATCAGTCTGTGCAGAAATTCTGTTTAGGTAAATACAACAATTTATCTTCAACATTTGACAAATACTTAACATGTTTCAAATGGTTAACGTGGTTGATCTTATTTTGTTAAACATCTTAAAATGCATTATAAAACAAAAAAGTGAACATTTAAAGTGGTCAATATTTGTTTATTATTATATCTAGTAGCAATAATTTTTTAAAAAAAAGGTTGTTTTAAATTGATTAAAATTAATCAAANAATGGTTAACGTGGTTGATCTTATTTTGTTAAACATCTTAAAATGCATTATAAAACAAAAAAGTGAACATTTAAAGTGGTCAATATTTGTTTATTATTATATCTAGTAGCAATAATTTTTTAAAAAAAAGGTTGTTTTAAATTGATTAAAATTAATCAAATCAAACAATTCCTTGTCAAAACTATACTGGCATTGGACCATTATGAAGTTATAAAAAAAAAAACACCTTATCATTAAAAAAAGTATTTTATTTTTTTACTATTATCTTTCAACAAGCATATGTAAAGACTGCAATAGTATGAAGTTTGTCTTAGCAATGAGCTCTGCAAATCTTAAAAACTAGCTAGCTTAGTTTTATTACATCTTTCACAAAATCACTATTTTGTTATATAATAATACATGTCTGAAATATGCCAATTCTTTGTTACTTTGTTCATAACTCTATACTTTAATATGAGATAATTACATATTTTGCCAAGTTTAACAATGTAATTAGATTAAATTCATGCAAAACATTGCCTATCAACAAATACAATCTATATTCCAAGTAATAATCTTGACAATTGTTTTAGAAAATTTGACAGCTATAAAATCATAACCTCGTCATTTATCATCAACATCCCTATATACCATTTAGGGTGAAAACTTTTTGTACTGTTGCTAAATAAACAGTACTCTAACTTCATGACAACACTCCAGATAGTGTGACACATTCTTCAAAATTATTTGGCTAAAATGGACACAAAATTGCTTCCATACCTTATCTATTCACCTAACTTCAGATTTGGGATTTTACTTCTCAAAAATTAACAGTGCCTTTAAGTGATGTTTCTGTGATAATGTAAAAAGTAGCTGCAAAAAGATGCAGCTACTTTTATGGAAACAGTTAGCAAGAAAAGGGTTCCAGCAATGCTGTGAACAATTGTTTGAGCATTGGAAAAGGTATGATGGTTGGCAAAATGGGCAGCACATTAAAAACATTATAAACAGCAATGTTCATATCTATTTATCTGGTACTATAGCAGTCTTGGAACTTTTTGAATATATTATATACATCTACCCTATAGCTTAAATGAGAATACAGTGATACTCCGAACTTACGCGATAGGTGGGACCCAGAGATAACTGCATAAGTCGAATTCACGTAAATCGGGGTATAATTTCGCAATTTGTGTAAAACCCAAGTCAATGTATGTAAGCTAATAAATGTTCTCGTTAATCTTATCTC